GGTCATTACAATCTGAACTAATAACTTCGCAGCCGTGCGCAGTGCAGCTGTTCCTTAAAACACGAAGCTTATCTAAATAACATTTAAGAATTAAGCCCGTACCGCGAAGAAAACACATTCGTGTGATATTCTTATTTACCCAACTTTATATACCCCGACCTTTCACTGTGTCTCGTCAGCTGAGGAATGCAAGGGTGTAGAACATTCAATCATGGCTGAGCTTCTTCGTGGCGACACATTAAGAATATAGTCCACTCTCAGACTGTCTAATACGTGTTGTCCCTTGCTTGTCTGAATACCACGCCACGAACATGTGGGTGTGGAGGTGCAGCTCCACACATTCAAACCTACTGACTGGATATGAGGATTCTTTGGTCCCAGATTCGGCCTCGCTGCTAGGTATCGAATTCCGACATTTCAGATCAGTCGCCTTTCTCGTTGGGCGTTTAAAGCCATCTTTCTGTTATTCGCTGTGTAAGGTTTTTCATTTAGATGCGCGTTTCGGTTTGTGTGAACAGAAACAAGCTTGTGGAAGTTTCATAAACGAATATTAATACAAGAGTAACAGATAAATGAAATGTTGCAGACATAAATTGCTTCTTTTAAAATAAAGTGCAGATCTTTAACACATGTAGATTCAGCGACGAATGATCAAAGAAACATTACTAGAACTAAATGCCGATGGGGTGATAAAACAGGGATGAACAAAATGTAGCTGAAGATAATTGTCTTCCGGGACGTCGCGCCGTGTAGCCTGAGTGAAACCGAATGACGTTTCAGGGTCCTGAAGATGGAGTCTGCGAGCATTTTTCAAACGTCGGTCAATTTCTACCAGACTGCACGGGAGCGACGTCACGGAAGACGGCTTCATTGCCGTGAGAACCTGAAATGTCACCAATGTTTCGACACATCGTTCCTAAACATGTAGGCACTCGGTTCGAACAATTCTGGCAAACGTTCAGAACGATTGATATTTTTTTCAAACTAATGTTGTATGGTCAGTTTCTCTTTGTGACTGTCGATATACAGATAAAAGCAGAGCCTCTTTATCTTGTCGTAGGAATCTTACCACGCGTACAAAAGAGGGCTGTGGTCCCTTTCTCTTGGGGGCTTCAATACCATTTCTGTCGCACTAGTTTGGTCGAAGAAACCGCTTCCTTGTGGCTGTTAAATTCAGTCGTCTTTACGAAATGGTAAAAATCCATTTTTTAAAACGATAGTACTTCATATTTTGTGATAGGTTGAACTCACATAAATGCAAATGCATGTTCCATATGCGTGCATTTTAACGCGGTGGCATTTCTTCGTTTTCCAGACCTGGTTCTCTTTATGCCTGGTAACACGGTGTGTAAATAAATTGTTACGTACGTGACAGGAATATCAGTGGACTGTATATAGTTTATCAAATATATCCCGGGAATATTAATCATTTTATACTTGGCAAATTACAGGATTATACACAGAATGTATTGGAATGGATATGTTTTGTAAATCATGCTTTAGAAAGCAGTTAGCATACTTTAACGCGACATTCTTTATCCACCCTGATTTACTATCTTCAAAGCAACTGCGCTTGCAGTGAGGAACGCCAGTCTATGCAGCATAAAGCACTCCTCTGCATGGACGGATCATTCTCTTATTACACCAGCTCTCTTCTGTTATGACGTGACCCGAAGGTTCATACTTGTATTAACAAGATAAGTCAAAACATCACTTTATCCTCCCCTAATCAGTTTAATCAGTAAATATTTAAAGAAGATTAATTTTTACAGTATTCCTACATTTGCATCTTAACTTGTTTCGGTGACATCTTTTGTTTAATCGCAGTAATTAAGATTCGTGTGAACAAAAAACGTGACTCGTGTTGCCTGACTTCTGTGAACGGAGTAATAAACCTTTGTGCCCATAAAACGAGCGAATTTCTTGATGTCTTGATTTGCTGCCAGCTGCTCAAGAACGTCTTCTACCTTTGAGCCAGTTAATTGGTTTCGCTGAACTGCATCTCCGCATAATCGGAACGGTTACCTGGTGAATTTTTAACATGGATTTGACGTTCTTATGGCACTGGATGTTCGATTATGGTCTTCAGGCTTGCCGGTCTTGTTATGTCGCTGGTTACATTTCACTACGCATTGTTATTTTTTTATTTGTTGTTACTAGAAGTCGCTAGTAACAGTAATTGCATCGTGGTTGTTCTTCTGATAACTTTCTTGATCTCACACGTGCCCTCGATGTGAACACACGAAGGTCCTTGTTACACAATTTCCTTCGTTATGCGTTTCATTTGTGTACATTAGTTCGACACGTGTTCTTTGGTAAGTTTTTACCAAATCTTTGTAGTTTAGCGTTGTTCCATCAGGAACATGTAATGTCGCGTAGAAATATTATCCCCTAGGAGTAAGGACTTAAAATGATGTCAAGTAAAATATTCGGCTTTAATCTACAAATTGTCACCGTCAGGGATTTAGAATGATTTCATATCGCCGTGTGAACCAGATATATCACTATGAATGAAAGGGACTAGAAGAAGAAATAGAATATAAAGATACGAGGAATAGAAAATAACAAATAGTGATAAAGAAGAATAAGAACTTTGAATATAAGAAAGAAGCTAAGAGGAATTAAGACGGAAAAAGGATAATAGAAGAGGAATGCGGATAAGAAAAAGATCAATAACTGGCGTGGACAGTGCGTCATGTGACCGAAATCAAAGTGAAGTTGTCGTGATTTCTTTTCAGAAGGTCCCTGTCTCTGGGATGAGCATAAATGTAGGTCGATTGTGTGCCTAGTGAGGTAAGGTTAGGTAAAATGTCTTTATTCCGCTTTCAAAACGTTCGTCAATATTTTAATAGACTATGCAAACATTTTCTTAGAAACTCACTGTGTAAACAGACCATTGTCACTGGCCTACAAAGATGTACTGGTCTGGACCAGATTAGTAGGCCCGAACTCGGTCGACGGATCGGCACTTAACAGATGTTCTGGGCTTGTAAGACAGCGGTGGGTTTTCTAGGACCTGCCTTTATCATACGCTGAAATATCAATTATAAAGACATCTAAACTTTCTGATTTATGATACAATATTAAAGCCTTAATTTATTATTAAAATGTATCAGCCGCCGTAATTACGAGCGCAGAACTTTTTCACAATTGAAGAACATAGCATATGAAACAGTTGAAGTCGCCACAAGCGTCCGCCTGGGGTGTCCAACATAACACCAGCTCTCGACGTGTGAGGGTTGAAGGATTCAGACTAGAACGTCATCATTCCCCTTTCACTTGTCAGTCTGTCCGTCACATTAAGCGTCATAAAGGGAGACGAGAAAGATTTCGTAATTTTTTACACGAAAGTTTTAGTCGCAAGAGAAATAGAATAAAGTCGCTAATTTGTAAGGCAGTAATTTTGACGACTTTGGAAATTAATGTACAGGGTGATTCAGAAGTACGTCTAACTTTCTGGGGTACATTAAACGGTGATTTTAAGTTTAAAGAAAGGTGCTCTTCACGTGTGCACAATGTCGGACGAACGGGATCTTTTTATGTGTTAATTTATAAGTTTAAATAAATAAAATGAAATACGTCAGCTCTGGGCCTATACTGTGGATAGGTTATTTAATCTCCTTACGTAATCCACCTTCTGTATGAATTGAAAATTCATTACTCAACACCAAGTCACGAATTATGAACAAATTCGGTGTTACAAATTTTTATAATAATGTTGTATATTCCTGTAGGTATATTTGACGTACATGTTTCCAGATAAAAGGCGGTTTTCGTCTGAATTTAAATGAGCACACGTGCATATAATTGACCTCCCTGACATACATGACAAAGTAGAAAAACGGGTTTGTATTTCATCTTGCAGTATTGTCCTTATGAAAAGACTATAGCGACTGCGCTGTGATTTGCATCAACTCTAGTGATTATTATACCTAAGACTGTCATTACTTAGTTAACTTACATAATAAAGTCTCAGTATAAGTGTCGCCTGTAATAAATAAGGCGCTTATTAATGTACAGTATTAAATAGTAGGTTTGCATGTCATATTCTGTTGTAATTTTAAACTATATTTACCGTGCACCTGCACTAAACCAAGATCATTACCAGTGAACATAATTTGCTAACACTGGCTATGCATATTACATGCCTACGTATTATCTTATGGTAAAATATTAAACGATTCGAAATTAATGTTGTTCATGTCTTTTATAAATATAGCCTATTTTGGTAATTTTACAATGAAAGTAAGACGTCAAATGTCTAGATTCCTTGCTTCCAGCAAATTAATCGGCGGAAATTTGAACATTTTAGGCATGACTTAACGTTTTATAAATCCTTATCAAGACAATCTGTTGGAATCTTTGCACGGCTAATGGGATGTTCTTCTTTGGTTTCATTCATTTATTAGATACATATCCGTTGTTGCAAATCTAATCATCACTGCAGATATCAAATTACATAGCGGCGTATAAATTTTCCTTCTTTTTTTAAAAAAATGCTTTAAATAAAAGCTGTAGATCTTACTAAATCTCTAATGGTTATTTAAAAAGAAAATATGTGCTTGGCGAAAGCTCAGAAAAGCTTAGGCTGGTTCACGTATGTCTCCAATTTCTTACGGTGTCAATAATTTGCCGAAGTTAATTTTGCAAACAGAGAACGTCATGGTTATGTGCTGCTATGTAACTCCGGGTGATGCGAATGTTGGGATAACGGGTGTTTTGTTGTTGACTGCTTTGGCACAGTGTGTTTTATTTACGGCGTTACAACCCAGATCAGGGGCATTGTCATAGCGTTACTCAACTAATCGTGTCTTAGAGCGTTACTCAAGTTTTTGGTTTTCATAAATCGCGATAATTATCGATTATAGTGTTATCGTGTCAGTTTGTATGCCTCTTAATTTCGTCAATTGTGCCAACTAGACGAAACTGTGTTCTAAAATATTCCATTCACTGGAATTAAAATGTATATTAATTTTAAAGTTATTATTTTAAAATTTTAAAAAGGGTTTTAAAATTATTGTCCAGAATTACTGTTTATTGTCATGTTCTTTACACTTTCCTTCCGTCTTTAATTCTGTTTCTGTATACCTTCTTTATTTATATATTTATTTCCTTATTTATTTTTAAATTTTATTCCTTTTTCTGTCTTTCTAGTTTCTCCCTTTATTTCTTTCGATATTTAATTTCTTTCTACTTCCTTCCTGAATTTCTCTCTGCTCTTCTTCTCCTCTTTATTTTTCTCCTTTCCTCCGTAATTTCTTTTTCTTCATTCCTTCTTTTTCCGGGGTTTCCCTGTCTCTCCGCGTGTCTTTTGCTTCTTTCGTATCCTTTAGAACGTTCGCCTCCCCCCTCTACGTTCATCCGTCTTTACTGAATTTGCATTGAAATTCCTTACAAATTGCGTGCGCATCTTCAAATGTGGAACTTAGCTAAAACGTTGCGGTCGTGGGACGCTTTTACAGAAGTACGTGATCTGCGAGGGTAATAACCCGTGGTGGTTAACTAACAACTCTCTTGGTGTTGCGTTTCTCGGAAACACTTATATCGTTACTTCTGGAACTGGCTTAAAGCTGTGCACTGCATAATAGGGATGAAGGCAGGTTGTTCCGTCGTGGAAACTGCCTGTTTTATCAACCCACGAAAGTGAAGACGAGCAAATTGCGCTGATTTAGCGGTTAAACTAGTTTCCAAAAGAAAGGATATACTTCACATTCCGCGCTAATAACTTACGTTGCCCGATATTCATGGAATTCTGTAGGAAGTTTACACAATTTGTTACCGTGACATAGTACTTTTATGGCTTATTTATATATAACATTCACGAAATAAAGGAGTATCTGGTACTGTTGTAAAGATTGTTCCCGTTATTCAGAAAATAGTGAAGGTATTTCGATTAAATTTGGTATTGAGAACGAACACCAACATTCATCCAACATATTTCATTGTGCTTCGTACTGAGCACATATAACTCTTTAGTTTACGTGAAGTTCGCACAAACGGCGTCACAACCCAGCTTACCATAATCGATGGACTTGTAAAGACAATTTAGATGATTACTTGTAGTAAAATAATCTGACGATATTTTAGGTAGTAACTCGTAGCAAGACGTCAAGTATAATTAGACTACGCGAATAAAATTTTACAGTCGTTTTTTCGGGAGGAATTTGGTGGGGGACAAATTGCTCATTGAAATCGAAAGAGATAAATATGGCACGTCATGACATTACTACAACGTCTTTAAAATGTCAGATGTTAAGTGGGACTCATTGTATTAGCTTTGCATTTTTAGAAGATGATACTGTGTACTAACACGTTTCGGTTTGTGGTTGTGTTTAATCATTGAGGACAACCAGTTCAATTCTTAGAAGGAACTTTTTATATATTTCCCGATGGGTTGATTATGTAACAAATCTTGGGGTGTTTTATAGATTCTTTGTACGTAATTCAGCTTAACTTTTTCAATTTGAAAGTTCTTGCCCAATATAAAAAATTAAAGCTGCATTGTCCTAGTGTTAGTTAAAAATTACGTTTCGGGGATAGGAAACTGCTTCAGTCCTGATTGGTCTCAATCGACAGAGGCAGGACAACGGATAATATCCAACATGTTTGTTATTTTAATTTCGATGTTAACATTTGATTTGGTTTGCTTGCGCACAGGCAATATTTAATTAACTGGGTACGAACGTCGGAGAAACATTGAAATTACAAAGTAGTTTATATTTTTTATTGGAAATGAAACTGGATTAGGGATTGTGGTAGGAAATCATTCCCCGCCAAATGTCAACCGGGTTTTTACGCTGATTTATTTTAGCATGAGATTTTTATCGCCCTAACAGTAATTCCAATCGTCTGATATACAGATATATGTCTTCTTAAAATTTTGATACTGTAGCATATAAGAACTGAGTCACACAGAAGTACACAGAGCATTATGAATCCCAGAATAAGGCTATCTAGTTTTGCAGAAAGTGCTCGCCACTGAGACCAGCATATGGTGCATTTCTTTGAAGACTTAATACACACAACTGGCTGTACTTGATGGTAGTCAAACCCGGAACTGGTGCTTGAAAGTTAAACTGTGACGTAGAAAGTTCAACTGAATGTGCAGAATAACCTATGTGACATGTGGCTGTAGTGATCTTCTGAGCCGAATGTTTCGAAGTGCTGTAAATCACACCTTCTAGCGCGTGTAACTAATTAACACTTGAATCAAGTAACATCATCATTTTTTAAGCTTTCACGGCGACTGAATGAGGTGAAGTCTTCTCAGACAATCAGCCGTGTGAGATTGGCGTTAATATACAACGTTTCAGAGACTACCGTCTTCATTATCAAGCCCTGAAGATGAAAGCAGTGACAATCTCCGAAACGCGGTTGATTCCGCTAGAAGACTTAGTTGCCAACAAATAACTATTTAACCAGCTATTATGTTTAAGCAAAACAGTGACAAACTTAGCAATTAACTAGCTGACCAGCAAACTTATTCAACAGTTTTTATATGTTTTTGTGGTAGGGGGCGGATATTAGTTATAATATATTGCATATTGTTATGATATTATCGTCTGAAAATGAGCAATTTACAGTATATATGATATGTGAAGATAAAATTGATGTAAGGATAAGAATCTCTATGGGTATACGTTGGATCGAACTGACTCCGATAGTAAGCTTCGGCACTAGAAGTTTTAACCATTCGGGTTCCGTTGCCACGGAGTCAGTAAATTAAATCAGATAAATGTTTACTCTGGTGGGTGGCTCCTGCAAAGTAGCTGGCCGTCGTGCGGAATTGCTCTTTGGAAAGACTGACCCGTCGTCTGCCACATGACGTGGAAATTAACTACCTTTTACAAACAAGGCGATATTCGGTCCATAACCTAATTCATCCGGGTAGCAGATCGTGCAAA